ATATGAGAGATGCGTGTAGCTAGCTGGTTAGGGCAAACCTTGGTGGGATATGAGAGATGCGTGTAGCTAGCTGGTTAGGGCAAACCTTGGTGGGATATGAGAGATGCGTGTAGCTAGCTGGTTAGGGCAAACCTTGGTGGGATATGAAAGATGCGTGTAGCTAGCTGGTTAGGGCAAACCTTGGTGGGATATGAAAGATGCGTGTAGCTAGCTGGTTAGGGCAAACCTTGGTGGGATATGAAAGATGCATGTAGCTGGTTAGGGCAAACCTTGGTAGGATATGAAAAATGCATGTAGTTGGCTAGGGCAAACCTTGGTAGGATATGATACATGCGCGTAGTTGGTTAGGGCAAACCTTGGTAGGATACGAGACGTTTAGGTAGTTAATTATGTTAAGCTTTTATTTATATGGGAGGTGTACTTAGTTAGTTATGGTAAACTTTTGTAGGGTATGGGACGTGTATGTATACATTTCTTACTGTGTGTATTTTGTCTTACATAATAAACCATATTATCCTGGCTATTTTAACAAGACACCTACCAATGGAGAGATAATAAACCATACTATCCTGGCTATTTTAACAAGACACCTACCAATAGAGAGATAATAAACCATACTATCCTGGCTATTTTAACAAGACACCTACCAATGGAGAGATAATAAACCATACTATCCTGGCTATTTTAACAAGACACCTACCAATGGAGAGATAATAAACCATACTATCCTGGCTATTTTAACAAGACACCTACCAATGGAGAGATAATAAACCATATTATCCTGGCTATTTTAACAAGACACCTACCAATGGAGAGATAATAAACCATACTATCCTGGCTATTTTAACAAGACACCTACCAATGGAGAGAAGATCCATTTTACATGCATCTCTACCAGTTTCTACCGTACAAGTGACAGTCGGCCTGCTAGCCAGCTATTAGCGACATGATGTCTAGGAACATGCTTAAATCTCTCACTTATGTTAGAGTGCAAAGAACATGGCACCATCTTTTTTAGGCTTACATTCAAAATTAAAGTGAACCTCGTTATTATTGACTTGTGTGAACAAATGTGGTATCAAAACATAGATAATAAACCCAATATTTATATATCAGTTTTAATTTTTAATTTCCAAAGAAAATGTTTAAGTAAAATCTTGAAGTCACCACATATGACAATCGTGACGTAATTTCTCTAAATCTTCTCTCTGTACTTCTAGAAATGGTGGTAGGTAAGTTATCAAAGTCTAACGTAAATTGATAACACTATACTGTGGATATTCCCACGAGAAATATAAATTTTCCCAGGTTTGAATCTTCCTGGTCCGTGGAGCTATCAATTAGAAAGCGAGATGCAATTGCCACGCCCACATCTAACATACTTTATTTCAGGATTAGCCAATAAATAATTTTGATGTTTTACCTTATTTAATTTATATCCAATAGAAAGGTAAAGTGTTAATCTATGAATGGTGTATAAATGGATGTTATTTGTCGCTATGGTGTAAAATAAATAGATCACTCAGTTTCAAACTTTCTGTGGAAATGTTCAGATAGAGTATATGATGGTTTTTTTTAAGTGCTTATGCAACAGTTAGATAAATTATAATAGTTACAGGATATTGTTGACTTGTTCTGTGTTATTATGTACATTTTTAAATAAATAGAAAATATTTAGTGCGTAAGAAGCGTGGTTGAAAAGTTTAAGGCTTAAATTTCACCGAGGGCTGAAACTGTTTGTTTTTAATTAAGCACAAAGCAACACAATGGACTATCTATTCTCTGCCCACCACGGGTATCGAAACCAGGATTCTAGCGTTGTAAGTCCGCAGACATGCCGCTGTGCCACTGTGTGGGGGGGGGGGCTGAAACTGAGCGCGTGCAAGATCGTGCACGAGCTCGCGAATTATGTGGTTAAATGCAATAGACTGGGCTGAGCGCTCTCCGATTTCTTAGTTCAAAAGGGCAATAAATCAATAAACGCTACTATAAAAACGGTATAAAATGTTACACGCTGTAAACTGTTAAGGATAAACAAATGTTTTGAGATACAATCTGGAGTAATTCTAGAAGGAAATAATGAGTAATTTATATATATATATATATATATATGTTTTGTATTTCTCATAGTGGCTACAAAGTTGGTCAAATCTTAAAGGGGACATTTTATGAGAAGCCAACTCACGTGAAACGTAATCCTATGTCTCTCTCACAACTCTTGTAATGACGTTAGACTATAAACTGGAGAACTATCACATTTGGTTTATAATATAATGGCTTACACTAATATTCTATGTTGATAACAATAAAAAGCAAGTTTGTGTAACTAAGAAAGTACGATCAGGTGGCTTTACTTGAAGCCCGAAATGAAGAGCAGTACTGCGACATTTAGAGGGTTATTCAACTAGAAAACTCAGCTAACCCTTCTTTGGGTTATATACAATAAATTATCAAAAACTAGTTGAAAAAAAAATCAAACAATTCGGGGGATACAACATCAAAATTTCTCACGGTCAACTTTTGATAATTACACACGTAACAGAGAAGTATTTCTAAGAGCTTGGGGTGGTGGTATACCAGGTCAATATACGACAAGATATTGTAATAGTGTAGTGTGGTAGATATAGTATTTTCACATACACTGTACCTTTGCCTTCTGACTGTCTTGTGGCAGTAACGAATGATAATTTTTTTATAATATTTATATTTATTACATATATTATTAAATAATATATTTTTTTTTTTTTATATTTTATCTCCCTTCTCTTTCTGGTCCCCTTGCCACAACGACGGTCGCTTTTACTGAAGAACTCTCACTAAGTTTATATGTAGCAACAATATTTACCACCTTGTTTATTAACCATTTGTTAAAATTAGATACACCAATGTAAACAGAGCTACATTGATAAAGGGTTAACATAAGAATGTGGTTTAAGCCAAATATTATAACTGGTAAAACATGTGTTATATGTGTATATATATACGTGTTTGTACATATATATATATATATATATATATATATATATTCATTAACCTTCGGTCTGATCTAGTTGTTAGTCTTCCAGCTCACCTAAGTTGTTAGTCTTCCAGCTCACCTAAGTTGTTAGTCTTCCAGCTCACCTAAGTTGTTAGTCTTCCAGCTCACCTAAGTTGTTAGTATTCCAGCTCACCTAGTTATTAATACTCTAACTTATTTACTTCTGGGTGCAATACGAGTAGAAATACAAGACATCTATTTTACTTTTTCATTAGCGTGATCTTGCTTAACGTATGTTAATCATTCTCTGTTTGGCCCACTTTTGAAACAAACGTTAGGCTGTGACAGTTTTAGAAACACTGACTATAGTGTGTAATCTAATAAAAATGTATAACCACATGACATAGTTTAATATATCTTAACAAAACTTAGAAATTCTAAATCGTCCGATAAGTCACATATACACTACTTAAAAATATTCCAATAACTTTACTTTTGTCCCAAGAGTTTTCCACAAAACAAACATTTTAAAAATATAGATAGTTTAGCCATGTCCAATATAATTGTTCTTTTTGTAATGAATTTTTAATACAATAGTATTCCAGCAATGCTTCATGATTCAAATTGTTGTCCTTATTATTGGGATGTAATATCTTGCTATCCTAGAAGAGGTAAACGTCACGTTACTGACCATTCTATTCCTCCACTTTCACCAGTAACTGTTCTTTCCTTTTAATAATCTAGTAGACTCAAGAAAATTACAGTGTGTTGTGTCAACAATCTCTTGTTAATTACAGAGTGTTGTGTCAACAAAGTATTGTTAATTATTTCACTGTTAAGGTGGCCTATGTAGGGCGCACTATATATCAACTAAATGTTTTGAGAAACAGCTATGGAAGCAAATTATAAACTTTCCATATTAATTTGAAAATTTTGGAATAAATGCAGGGATAATTATATGCTACTCTTTAACAACAAATAGTGAGGATTGATCATCACATTATAACGGGTTGACTATGTTCTAAAATAGTTGTTTATCTATAAACGTGGCAGTGAAGGAGTTACAGAAGATTGCAAGTTATTTATTGTGTGGACTAATATTATAACCAATAAAACACAAGGATGTGTATAACCAATAAAACACGAGGATGTGTATAACCAATAAAACACAAGGAAGTGTATAACCAATAATCAATAAAACACAAGGAAGTGTATAACCAATAATCAATATAACATAAGGACGTGTATAACCAATAATCAATATAACATAAGGACGTGTATAACCAATAATCAATTGTTATCACGTTTTGCTGAAAATGAACGTTTTTGGCTGAGCTTGAAAGTAAATTTTGTAAAATATGAGAAATACCGTGAATGATAAATATTGAAAACTAAACCGTTGTAGTCCTAGGTGTTTTTTTTTTTTTTTTTAATTCACTTCTCTTTTCTCTTTGAACTAGGCAATCAACATTTTCTGACCGAGACACATCCTACCTATAATCTACTAATGTTGTGTAAAGATAACGCAGGAAGAGAGGGAAGCTCAAACTGTCAAAATGTCGGACAACAAACACGAAAAACAAACAACCCTAAAAAGGTACATGTAATTTTTGAGGCACCAATGTCACGGAATTGTAAAAAACAAATATATAAAAGTGTTAAAAACAAAAGAAGTACTTGGTTAACGTTTTGGCCAAATGACCTTCATTAAATTTTCCTCAAATTTGTTTGGCCGAAACGTTAACCAACCATATAATTATTATTTTCCTTATGGCTATTTTAAATATTATTTTGTGTCTTATTACACTCTACCTACACTTACTCGAATACTGTGGACATGAACAAATTCTTGTGATCTAAACAAAGGTGATAGTTATTCACGTTCTATTGTATAAAAGTCAAACATACAATACCAACTTTAACTGCAATGTATTTAATTATATTATTGTTTTTAATTGTGATCTCACGTTTATAACAGTTACCTAAACAAAGGTGATAATCATTAAAAAAGACGTTCTATTGTATAAAAGTCAAAACATACAATACCAACTTTAACTGCAATGTATTTAATTATATTATTGTTTTTAATTGTGATCTCACGTTTATAACAGTTACCTAAACAAAGGTGATAATCATTAAAAAAGACGTTCTATTTTATAAAAGTCAAAACATACAATACCAATTTTTTTTAAGATGTTTTTATGGCACGTGTGTAATGTTCAATTTTTGAAAACTCAAAAGTTTTATTTAAAAACAATTATTTTATACACAATTCAATAAAATGAGATTGTTTCCAAATTATTAAAATAAGATAAATAAAATATTAAAATAATAACTTACTGTACAATATTAACAGGTGGTAAAATCCCCGACGTGACTGGAAAACAAAATCATACACTCTACATGAATCGACGTATATCTTACGTCATCCTCAGGGG